TTTAGTTTTTAGTATTATTTTATTATTATTCAAACACACTTAAACATTCATCTTATATTTATATTCTTGTTAATTCATTATTATTAATTATCCACTTTTATCATTTATATTTTTCTTATTAAAATCTGATGTGAACACAGTTGCTATTAATCATTTCTAAATATTCTCATATGTAAAAACTAGAAATGGTAGCAATATTAATTTATAGCTTTTATTTCTGACTATAATTTTACTTATAACTGTAGTTTATGATTACTATAACAAAATAAATATTTATTATACTAAAACTAAAGCAAATTAAAATTATAATAATTAAAATTATTTTTTAAATTCATATATATTCATCCTAAATATTAACTATCTTATATCAATTTGTAGTTCATGTTATGATTTACAACTTAATTAGAACATTAACAAATATTTACTTGAACTCAAACTAAACTTTTAATCAAGTTCAAGTCTGATTCAAAATTTGAACTAAACTCAAATCAGACTTTTAATTAGATTCAAATTTTCAAACCAGACTTTTGGTCAGATTTGAGTCTGATTCAAGTTCGAACTGAACTAGACTTGAACTGAATCAGACTTTTTTTCAGAACTCTACCCAGAACTTATAATATTTGATGAGCTTACCAGAGAAATTATTCAAAAGAGATCAATTTCAAAGAGCAACAAACTTAAAGAGAAAAAAATAATTAATTAGTTAAAATTTTTACAAGTTACAACAACATGAAATTATACTTACTGAGCAATTGGTTCAAAAAGATCTGAAATTATTGAAATTATCTGAACTCAAATTTATTTACCTATAAAAAAAAGAACAGTTATATTTATTACAAAAAGAATTCTATCAATAACTGAAATTATTAATATATTTAATGATAACTAGTACTAAACTTAAATTATAGAATTCATTTGAGAATACCAATCTAAAAATAATAATAGTTAATTAAAAATTAACAATAAACAAATAATTAAAAATAAATTAAATAACTTACTGAAAAAAATAATTAAATAAAATAATAAACAAAAGAAATCAATATTATTATAATCCAAATATTTTATAATATAGTTATTTTATTGATAATTAATTACTTTTATTATATTTAATATTTTTAATACAGTCAAACCCCTTTATAATTATCACCTCAGGAAAGCAAAATTTGGTGACTATCAAGAGAATGTAACTATAAAGATGTTTTTTTACTATGTTTATATATAAATGTGAAAGCAAAATAGGATGACTATTAAGGATGCTTGCCTAAATTCTTTCAGAAAAATATCGTCATAATTTCGACGGGTTACACACTAATTGTTAATTAGAATTTCGACATAATTTTGGTTACGACGGGTTTCAAAATTCGTCAGAATTTCGACGGGTTATTTACTAATAGTTTATTATAATTTCGACAAAATTTAAACAGTCACTAAGGGATTTCAGCAAGCAACCTTAGTGACTATAGAGAAATGTGACTATAAATAGGTGTAACTATAGAGGGGTTTGACTGTAATTTAATTTAATTTAATTTAATTTAATTTAATTAATTTAATTATTTACTATTTAATTATTTAATTATTTATATTTTTATTGGATAAACTTGAAATCATGTAACTTTTATATGTAACATGTGAGTTTAACATGTGATTTTAATATGTAACTTGTACATGTGATTTTATATATGATTTATTATTTATTATTAATTATTTATTATTATTATTTTAATTAATTTTATAATTTTATAATTTTTATAATTTGCATAATCTGCATGATCTGTATAATTCATATAAAATTATATAAATTATATAAATTATATAATTTTATATAAATTATATAATTTATTATATTTTTATAATTTTTATATATTTTATTATCTTTTTATAATTTTTATATGTTTTATTATATTTATTTCATTTAATCAAAATATTAGTTTAATATATTCATATATAATAAAAATTTGTACTTAAATTTTAATTATATTCCTTTAAATTTACATCTTATACATAATTATATATTAAAATATTATATTTTAATATATATTTTCAACAAAGTTATTCTAATTACAAAAATTTTTTATAATTAATTTTATAGTTTAATTATAAAAAATTTTTGTAATAACTTTGCAATTAAAGTAATTTTGTTAAATAAAATCTAAAAAATCTAGAAAAAATATATTAAAATATAATATTTTAATATAAAAACAAAAAATACTTATTAATAAAAATAAAAATTTTATTACAAAAAAATAATTATTATATTTTATTTTATTTTTATTTTTGATAATTTATTATAGAAATATATATATAATTTTTTGATTTTATTAATAAATATTTTTTATTTTTATATTAAAATATTAGATTTTAATATATATATTTTTTTTGGATTTTTAGATTTTATTTGATAAAGTTATTCTAATTATAAAATTATTACAAAAATTATTTATAATTAAAATAATTTTGTTAAATAAAATCTAAAAAATACAATAACTAACAAAATTATAAAATTATATATGCAATTTTATTAATAAATATAGTAAAAATTAAATTTTTGTTTTATATAAAAGTTTTTAATTTTATTAATAAATATTTTTTATTTTTATATTAAAACAAAGATTATTAGTTATATTTTAATATATATTTTTTCTGAATTTTTAGATTTTTTTCTAATAAAGTTATTCTAATTACAAAGTTATTGCAAAAATTTTTTATAATTAAAATATAAAATTAATTATAAAAATTTTTGCAATAACTTTGTAATTAGAACAATTTTGTCAGAAAAGATATATATTAAACTATAATTTACAATTTTTATTATATAATAATAAAAAATATTTATTAAGGGAAGTGATAAATATTAGCTAATATCCATTTTGTTACAGTGCTCTCTCCCCCTCCTGAGATTTTATTTAATATATACATGTGTGATTATATTAATATCTGAGATTTGATCTCTCTCTTTCTCCTTATAGAATATTAGCTAATATCAATCAAAATCGAAAACTCTTGTATAAGACAAAAATTTTAATTTTTACTATTAATAAAATCATATATATGATTTCATAATTCTGTTAGCTATTATATTTATTTGCTAATTATTATTATTATTTGATTAAATTAATTAATTATAATAGTGTAAGTTTAATTAGTATTTTTGAATTTGTACAATTCTTTAATTAATTTATTTAAATTATATTTGTTATTATTTGACAGAATTCTATGAGAAAATACTATCATTCGATTCATCATGCTTAGACGAATCGAATGGTGGTATTTTCATGCGATTCCGATCGCTAGTTATCGAGATATCGCACTGAAAGTCATCATATGTCAGATTTTCGCCAATTTAAAGGGCAATATCTCGATACACTGCCATCGAAATCACGTGAAATACCACCATTCGATTCGTCTAGACATGACGAATCGAATGGTGTTTTCATGTGATGTCGATCTGCAAAATCACCGTATGCCAAAATTTAATATAAATGGCAAAGATCTAATATACAGGGATAAAGATCTAACATACGGTGATTTTCAAGATGATATCTCGATATTTAGCGATCAGGATCACATGAAAATACCACATGGCGAATCAAATGGTGGTATTTTCATGTGATCCCGTTCGCTAGTTATCGAGATATTGCATGTTTACTTCGTCAAAATACCCCCCCACCCTCACAAAATAATCATTTTTTCCTTTTATTGCTTGTCACGTCATTGTAATTTTACTAGAATTATACAGAATTGAGTTGGCTTTTAGCCATAATAAATATGCTAATATTTGTATTATCTGTAAAAGTTTTCCCAATTACGATTTTAATTTCGTCAAAATACCCCCTTTTTCCCTTATAATCTTAACTCCAATTCTAACCCTAATCTGTTAATTACATGCAAAGTCAACCAGTTAATACTTTATCCAATCATGTTGGGGAAACGTTTTATCGGGGAAATCTCCATTACATATCGGAATCAGGTGCCTCCCTTAATAGTTTGATGTATATATCGATATTACTGCTCTTAAAATTCTCGGATTTCCCGCACCTTTTTGCAAACAGCGATAAAGAAATTGTCGATATGGAGGTGAAGAAGATAAAGAAATCTCACCAAAAATCTCTCTTTATAATAACACTCAAAACATTGATTTGGAAATTGATACCGATTTTCACTATGATTTAGTTTCAATCTGGTATATCGATAATTTCCGATTTACCGGATTTGTCGATATACGGTGTCTGCCATATTGGCCTATCAACAGAAATAGAATTTTTATTTACTCTAAAATACAATATGCTGTATTGAGTAATGGGCTTAGTAGTACGGCAAGCAACTGGTTAGTTAGATGCGGAATGAAGAATATCAAATTGAATTAAGGTAGTAGCAATGCAACCGAGTATTTTATTATTAAACTTCGCAAAAAAGACAATAAAACCAAAAATAGCATCATTTTTCTTAACTTACAGAACTATACATCGATATGTATTTATAAATCACGCGATTTGACAAACATATATGCATACTGTACATATAGATGCACATACATATCATTCGGACTCCATACACACTGGTCCATTCATGACATATAAAAAGAAAACGAAACTGTGTGAATTAATAAACCATCCCTTTTCTTATAAACCCCATGTATTCAAGATGTACATGTATATGCAAGAATGAAACTGATGAGGGACCAGAACACAAAATTAATTTGGTAAAAACGAATTTATGCAGTATTTTGTGCTATTGTATGCAGTATAGCATACAATATGTGCATATTTATATTTTCTGCAGTTCAATTTTAAATGAATGGAAAAAAGCCATATTATATCCCTTAATTTATCTACGCATGTCCTAATCTCGAGAAGTATTTAAATGGGCTTTGGTCTTTTATTTTTGAAATAAATTTTATTTGTTTTTGTCATTTAATAATAATAATTAAAGTAAAAATAATAACGGTATCAGCAAGACAATAACGACAACGATAGTTATTTCAAAACAACAACCATAATATAATGCATATCTCTTTAATTACAACTCTTGCTACTTGTCTATTGACATATATTGTTGCTTCGACTTCAGGTAAGAAAAAAAGCACGCAATAATCGTTCATCATCCGAGATATTTTCTTTACATAAATAACGTGTTCTCCTTACATATACGTGAACCAAATAAACAGCATTCACAATCCTCTACCCATCGGGAAAATACTGGGTCGTATTAAACACAACTTCGGTTGTTAGATGGACCTACAATGCGAGTAGTGACCCTCCTAATTTTAGCGTTGAATTGCAGTCTCCTGATGCTGTAAGTAAAATAATATTTATTTCTCGTTTTTGTGAGTCAAATGTTTAATAAACTAATGAATGACTAAATAAATTACAGAGTTTTCCCCTGTATGCTATCGTAACAACTGCAAACTCTTCACTCGGCATAGCCAATTGGACCGTCCAACAAGTTCCTCCAGGAACTGGTAAATTTTTTTCCTTTTTTTTTTTTGTTGCTGATGTTATTGTTTGCTAGCTTCAATTATTTATTTACTTCAATAAAAATGAAATAGGTTATAAAATTGTATTCGTAAATATCGGCGACATCAATCAACGATACACTGTGTCAGAAGATTTTGAAATAAAAGCTAATGGTAGCACACGTAAGTTTTTCTCTTTGATACTTTTGACTTTAACTTTTAAACCCAATTTTTTTAAATCGATTTTATAATATACAGCGAGTGAATACAAAGATCCATCATCAACAACAAGTACCGGCAACGACACAAACAATAGCGGTTCAGGAGACAACAAGTCTAACAACAGTAAATCCGACGGAAATAGTTTATCGACTAATGCTCGGTCGTCGTTTTATGCGTATCAAATGACGTTGATTGTTGGTGTTGTTGGTTTGGTTGGGTATTTCTTTTGATTTTAAAGGCACAAAAAAGAACTCTATTTTTAATTAGATTTAATAATAATTAATTAATCATTTTAATAGTAAGTAATTTAATTGAGCTTTCTTTTTACTTGTATATCGTATATATCATATCAATATATTTTAATTCAATTCTGAAAAAAATACTATCAAATGATGTGTGTGTCATACGACCGAGATTATGCTGGGCTGACATCACGGTAAATTTTTTATGCTGTACACGAGGATGAAAAAAAATGACTATATACGCATATTAAAGATACATTAATCTAACGAACATTCAAGAATAAAATGGTAATGTGCGACTCATTGGTGCCAGGTTCGTGCCGCAGCAATAAAATTACCCAAAAGTTGATATATAGTTAAGGTTAGGGTTAGAGTGGAGATCAAGGTTATATGTAAAATTGCCTCACCGACATTTTTTATTAATACTCCCAAGTTAGATTTGAACATCCATTTCCCGTATTTTTCGCATTTTTCATTTTTTTGCGTCAGATTGTTTTGCCGGCTGATCAAAAATTCGCACACATTCCAGATGTGCTATTATTGTTATGTTTCCCAAATATGTCGAATAACGGTCATAGTATTTTTTATTTTTTATTATGATTATGCTAAAGCAAAGTACATTTGGTAAGCATATATACTTGCACAATGTTTTTATGTTTACGTATTTTTCTATAATATCTCAGCTATGGCTCGCGTTTTTATTATAAAGTTTCGTTTTATTTCTTGGAAAAACAATGTCATGAAAATATTGAATATTCTGTAGTTGTGTATTCTCGCATCTCAATTGCCGTTACCGTTACTAGATTGTTGCGTGATTAGAGTCATGCCAGTCGGTGGTATCATCGAAGTAGATTGTTGAACCAGAACAGACAATACCAAACACGACGAGAAAAGCATACATTCGATGCATAGATAAACATCGTTTAGCGCGATGATTTGTATGTCGTTCTGCTAGTTCTTTATTTCCGAATTGGATTTCAGTTGGTGGTGTTGGAAGAACAAAAGTATCAAAGAATTTATTATGCTAAAGAGGATTTAAAAAAAACGTAAATGCTAAATCGTAATTATCTATTCATTATCACCTAAGAATAACAGTTCTTACATTAAAGCTTGGTCATTCAGTTCCACCAAATTTTCTTGGCTGTTATTATAATTTAACAAATCTCTTACAAATTATAAAAAAGTGCTTATAATTTACGATAAACAAAGCATTAATATAGTGAAATTGTCCATTATAAAATCTACTGTTGCTTATTAGATTTTTATGAAACTAAGAAAATATTAAACACAGTGGCATGATTTGTAAAAATGGAATTAAAAATGATAATGCTCTGTAAAAAAAAAGTGGTCATTTTTTATCTGGTATTTTTATTCCAGAATTCTAAAGTTAACAAAATTCTGGATCTTTGCCAAAAATCGAGTTATATCCGGTTTCTTTATATATAGTTGGTTTAGACTCCAAGTTTAGGTCTAACAAAATTGGAATATCGGAATTGACTGCTTCCATTTTGAGCTAGTGCTCCGAATGGTTCGGATCGATTCGGATTTGAGAGTGATCCGAAACTAAACCGAAGTTCAATTCGGATCGGTTTGCTACCAAATCGGAAAATACGGTTTGGTTTTCGGAGAACTGGATGATACAGGCAATAGATAAATTTGAAATGAAAAGGGATAACTGGAATACGGGTAAATTTAAAATTTTGCCAAAATTAATTGTTATCCTGATGAGAATACATTATTTCGGATTTAATCTGAAACCAAACTGAAATGATTTTTTCGGTTTGGTTTGGTTCAAGTTCGAATTAACACGAACCATTTGTAACATTATTGTTATCACCAGCGAACAAATTTCTCCGATTCCAGCTTTTTGGAATGAAACAGCTAAAGATGAACCGCGAATGTGCTAATGCTGGATGAATGTATCTCCAACGTTGCTGCACCCAACGGGAAAATTGCATCAGGAATTTTACGCAATATATAAGCAATTTATCAGCAATGCATAATGAATTAGTTCCT